GGGTCTGCCAAACAGATTCGAATCCACCCTGTGTGCCTCAGGATTCATTAGTGAGTCATGCTGATACAACGTATTGCAGACAGGTCATCTGAAAACCTACAAATATAAAAAAACATGTATTCAAATAACAATGACAGCACCTAAACATTTGGCAAATGTAAAAATGTGCTTTCTGATCCTGTATAGATTACCACATAATAAAATTAAAACGTTCAGCCAAATATTGCCCCTGTTCATTTTCCATCAGTGGTATTTAAAGGCAGAATAAATTAGTGGCTAATAATGCCAAAGACATTGCAAAGGCCTCTGACCTTTGAAATGCTCCAATATCATCCTTGACTGACAGTGGGTTTAGAAATACTAACTGTTAGAAAATGTCTCCTCATTCTCTAATCTTCATAACCGCCTGTTTCCTGGATCTGTTCCGGCTATATGACACAGCCACAACTCTCTCCGGGTTTAGAAAAGCCCTTACAATAGAGGGGTGTTTCTGTCACCCGCGACATTAGCCTCAGATCTGAGGGTGAAAAGTTGACGTCGGTTGGCACTAAATTCCTGCACGACTCTGATCTAGAACACATAAACATTTACAGTATACGAAGAAACTGTGAATATACAGTAGAAGTAAAGAAATACGGACACATCTTTTTCCATTTTTACAATTTTCCGTATCGTAAAAAATAACCACACACACTTAAATGAGTAGATGTGTTCAATCTTTAAACTCATACTGTTTGTAAGTTGGCAAATCATTTTCCATAAAAACCTGCAAGCACTTAACTTTAAACACACATTTTGTATTTCTTTCTATTCAGCTGTAATACAGTTTTATGATATATGTGGGTAAGATAAACTACTGGAATCACATTCAAAACCAACATTAACAAACAATTCATGCACGTAAAACAGCCATCTGAGCTGAACCCACAACTCCATCAATAATACCCTTTCAACAAACTGCTCCAACCACCGATCTGAGGCAGTATCAGACTCCAGACTCAAGCCAGTCATGTGGCCATGAAACCACCCGTGACTGGGGGGGGAAATATAATACTGTGTTGCAAGGCTTATGGTGACATACTGGAGTTTTGAAGGCCAGTTGTGGGTGACTGGATTTGTGTGTAAAAGTCAGGAAATAACTCTGAGCTGAGGCTGAGGATTCATTAGAATATAATTGGACTCTGGTGCATTTCAGGGTGATGTCTTGGGTGTTGCTCTGGACGAATGGGGCCATAAAACCTGGATCGTTGGCTAAAAATATTAAAATTAAGCTATTCACTGCTTAGTTTGAGCGTGACTTCACAGGCTATCACTGTTATGGGGTCATAGACCTGCTTAATATACTATACGAAGAGGCTTAATAGATGTGGCTGTATTTTTAGGAGAATTCGCCCCTAAATACCCTATGTTACTTCTTATGGTCGTACACAGGTTATGGTCATACACAGGTTGTGGTCATATACAGGTTATGGTCATATACAGGTTGTGGTCATATACAGGTTATGGTCATAGAAAGATTGTGGTCATATCCAGGTTATGGTCATAGAAAGATTGTGGTCATATACAGGTTATGGTCATATCCAGGTTATGGTCATATACAGGTTATGGTCATATCCAGGTTGTGGACACACTAATAAAGTACACACACTAATAAAGTACACACACTAATAAAGTACACACACTAATAAAGTACACACACTAATAAAGTACACACACTAATAAAGTACACACACTATTACAGTTTTAGAATCTAGAATCTAGAATCTCAACTTCACCAAGTTAGACCTTTAAAATAAAAGCAACAATTTACATTTCAACTAGATAATGCTAAGCAATTTGAGATATTTATATATAGCGGTTAGCGTCTTATTCAGGTTAAGCTGATGTCAGTACATTGTACTGCTGAAAACGTGATGTGACCAAGTACAAAGGTGACGTATCATTGAAGAACACTTCATACAGTCACTACGCTGCTGCTAGAAGAGATGAGGTGTAGTCGTCCATCTTGTGGCGAGGATTTAATCTCACTGTGCTGATGACAGATGGCTGCCGGGAGCTATTTCATGTGAAAGGTCAGGATTTCTCATATGTGGTGTGAACTCTTCATGTCACAGGAGCAGCAAATGCCAGGAAAAAGTGGTGACACTATCAGAATTAGTCTAGCTTTTCTGGTAATTCACACAAAAAATGCTGCTTCACAATATAAATGATGCTTTAAATAGAGTTTCTTTTTATGATCATGTAATAACCTTTTAAATAGCATTATAACCTTTTATATGAAGCCAATTGACCTGTCTGAAACCTGAAGCTTTTGCATAATGTCGCTCACGTTTTACCCACCCATTCCCTGAGCATCATCGCCGTCCATTGTCTCAACACCTAGGGAGAGAGATACGTTCATTTAAAAGCAGGTATGGACGGTCCCAGAATGCACCACTGTCACAACCGTCACCAACTTAATCTCTGTAATTACACCGCTCAGTTCCATTTCACTGACAGCGTGGCACTAATGACTTTCTCTTTAATTGTGTTACGTTTGTTCTGTTGATTTCTCCGCGAGAGGTAATGACGGGGAATACGTTGGCCATCTGTGCCAGCGCTGCCTTATAGAGCTCGGATACTCCGGATGCACTAAACTGAATAACATGGGACCATTTAGCGATGCCGGGCGACTGAGAAATGACAACGTTGATGCAAAGGCACACAGGTATTGCTATTTAACACAGCAGGGATGTGTTAAACGCTGTTGATACAGATATCCCCTTACCTGCGGGCTACCAGTGGTAAACAAGTGGTCATCTGCTCTGTAAAACCATCCTAGATGATGTCCTACCAGGTGGAGACAAGCCAAACATCTCCACGTGGATGGTCCCATCTGTGACTGGCCTTACTGAAGCTTCTGAAGTCTGTCATTTTTCTAACATATGTTACTCTTCACCCTGGCGATCAAGTAAGGACCAGTAACACATCTGGCTAACGGAACCAATGTTACGAACGTCATGCTGGTAGAGTACCGCTTCCCCCCTGTCTGGCTACTCTTCTCTGGGCTCAAACTTGTGGCTGCTTCACAAGAACTGTCCAATGGGGGGACTGGCTGGAAAAGCATCTAACAATTTACAGTAAAAAAGGGGTTTACTGAACATTGTTAATCGTGCCACATCTGGCTCATCATACAATTTGGTTTTTTTAACTAAATGGCTTCTTTGTAACTCGTTAAGTTTCCAGATGTTGCATTAAAAAACTTAAATACCAAAGTGTTTATTGTCAGATGGCTTTTGTCGCTAACCCTGCTTTTTGACAATAGACCGAATTTGACCTCCGCTACTGGTGTGTGTTTGTGATTTGTTCACTTCTAACTAACAGTCCATTTCCTTGTGGTTCCGGTGATATTTTGTTCTAGCCCAAACACCAAAGCACAATGCGCAGCAATACGTATATTTAGCCCCTTTATGTTGTGTTACTGAACAAAAGTTTGCTCGCTTTGATGATGAACGAGTATTTAAACTTTTCTAACAAGCACATTTTATACATTTCAAAGCAAGGTGGCAAGGTTGATTTCAGGCACACACATAACATTATAAAGTGTATTAATAATAGAAACAATATTCATGGAATAAAGGACAAGACAAAGGTCACCTGCTCGTATATTAAGACATTTGATCTTTTTTATTAACAAACTAAATTCCCATGCAATTCTCCCTGTCAGCTATGGAGATCTCAATGCCTCAAATTCTAGCCATGAAATGTGTGATTAAAGTTTAATCGCGGTGCAACACTTTTTGAAGCACCCATCCAACAGACTGTTAAGCATTTTTTGAACGCAGAAAGAAGTTTTTTAACGTTTATCTCTTCGGTAAGTACCCAATGATGTCATTAAATCAAATCAAGTAAATATCTTTAGTGCATAATTCCCATACAATATGAATTCCCAGGTCTCTTTATTACTGAAATATATTATCAAGTTCAGACGGGGTGAAGTAGGGGATATTCAACAATAAGCGAGCAAGAATGAGTTTGGTTTAAGGTTGAACTTCGCCTCCAGCTATGGAGTCTGGTGAGCAAGATGGGATTCAAATTAAAATCACGTTTCTCCGGGCTGATGGGACATGATGACACACCCCGCGCTTTATCCCAAGCCAGCTAAACGAAGCAGGAAGGTCGTCAAGCCAAACTGTTGTGTGAGAGTCAGCACAACCTCCGAATTGGATTCAGATTGACGGTTTGGTTCTTCCTATACTGTCTCCATTATTACCGCAGGTGAATACAGTGTTGAATCCTGTCGCTCGTCAATAGACTTAAGTATGAATATAGTGTTGTTCTGGAGATGGTGAAGCAAGTGATCAAGGAAAACCATCTGACTTGCATCAACTTTTTCGGCAGGAATATTGGGATAGGGTTCTTATACTTAAAGCTATTTAAATGTTAGCTTAGAGTTTGTTCATCAGAGAGTCAGTTTGGTGATAAACACCTAAACCAGAACTACCGTGGGCACCCCGGAACCTGGTGTGGTATGTGCTGAGACCAATTCTGGACAGTCAGTGTGCTTTAGTGGACGTTCAAACAAAAACTCTGTCATCTGTCGTCCAGCACAAGGAAACTAGAAAGAGGGGGAGGTTTTTTTCAATCTGGAAGGCGTAGTATTAAATTGACTTATGTCCCTGACATTTAGTCAATTTAGGAATCAGACAATATAGGGCCCAGTTACTTTTACCACAGAGATTAAAAGACTTTGAGGAGGGCAGATTAAAAGATGAATAAAGGATGGTTAACTTGCTAATGCTCAATTTGCATATAATAAAAACAAGAACTCTTGGTAGTCGCTACATCTTTGTTTTCGAGTTACTGTTTATAAAGTATTCGTGTGGATAACTCGATAAAAAGAAACCCCATTGTCCCGTGTCTAGATTACTGTAGTAGTTGAATAATGACAATTTAATTTCTAAGACTTTCTTTGAAAACCAAACGAGAAGATTGAGAACCAAAGGACTGTACAGTTATACTACGCTATAACCTTCAGTGGTAGAGTGCATGCTTTTTGAGTATGTCGTCCTGGGTTCAAATCCCAGCTGCTCCCCAGGTTGCAGTTATAAATTCGAAATCGTTCTCAATTGGACTACCTGGTTAAAAAATAATGTCAAATATGTCACTCGAAACACAACCAATTACCTTTGCTTTATTTTTCAGCGGTAGCTTTTTTGTTAACTGGAGTAGTGTCTTTTTTTTGTACTATTTCTGATAAGCCTCTGGCACTGTTGGCTTCTAATGTGTGCTTCCTAAATCTAAAATATTTCCCTTTTTATGGAGCTTTCCTCGGATATTAAGGGTTTGATATTAATCGGAATTTCTGACATCAAAGCTATTTTTGGATTGAGGAGAGAAATGGCAGTCACACAAGTGCGGGGCAGGGCGTAAGTGAGGTTTGGCATAACGTCCTGCTACGGCATCTCTCTGTGTAAAGAACAAGCTGACGGATCACAAAAAGCAGAGGGATTGGGACGTTCTGGGTCACATCCAGTCCAGGGTTTAGAACTGATAAATGCAGTTATAATTAGGTTCTCAACTCCCCTCTGGGTACACGTTCTGTCCTTTGCTCTCTCTTTCACCCTCGTTCCGTTCGTATTGAACTGTCATTATTGGGCTGGGGTCTGTAATTTGCAAGGGATGTTCTATATTGTTATAATATACCAGATGAGATTTAAATATTTACGGTTATGAATGAATCTGAATATTATATATTACTTATATATAAGAAGATTAATGCCTTTTTGATAACGGATTGTTCCAATCCTGAATGCTTATTGGCTGAAATTAGGGTGTACGTGAACAATTAGGAACGAGGTGTGTGGTGTATAGCCAATGTGGGCTTTTTCCAGAACCCCGCCCATATTAAGTCAAATTTTGATTGGTTGAATCTACTGTCATTTCAAAATGCTGCCCAAATCGTATATGCAATGATGTGGCCCTTGTGTTGATAGATTTTGTCTACCCAGCAACCATAAAATTAAATATTTTCTTTTTTCTTTTTTATAGTAACCCGTCTCTCTCCAACATGAACTGAGGAAATTGAAAAGAAAGACTATTAAAAATAAAAAAGGTAAAAAATGTTATTATATAATACAACATATTCAGCGTTTCCAGAGTTTGCTGAATTGTAAAATGCCCTGAAAATGCCCCTCTGGTTGGTAATTTTAATAGCATTATGGAACCTTTGGTTAAATCAAGTGACACAAAATTGCATGGGCTGAGAAGCGCCGTAATGGCCTTTTTGGACATATTTTATACCCTTGTGTGTCTAATCGCTTTGCACTAATATGTAGTAAGTAACCTGCTGTATATTTATTTCTCATCCAGATTAACCATGCATGTTTCAGCTTTTTCAACAGCACATCTGTCTCAATATTGTGATCTGATAAATCACCAACTGCCAACCTGTCATGATAATATATGCAAAATGATATGCCATTATTCAATAATGTAATTAATTCCAAACCGGCATCCACATCACTTCCGTGATGCGTTTTTTATTAAAGCGATCTGCCTCCGCAGCGGTCAAACAGATCTCAAGCAGAGCCAAAACTCCAGTACCCACAGTCAATGGCTTGTGACTGGCGGAATTAGCATGGGAGCGAGGAAGCCATCTGAACACCTAGGGGCTGTTAAAAAGTTATTGGTTTCAAAGCAAGATAATGTGAAGTCACACTTGAATGTTTGAACTCATTAACAACAATGAGATGCATATCTCCATGCAGGGTTCCTCCTACACATCACCCTGTAGGTACTAGCTAAACGGAATACCGAAACATGCTCCAGTGAGACAATTAGTTTTATAGATGTTTCCTGTCCTAGCATACGAACGACTGGACACAGCAACGCCATGTGATCAGTTACTGTTCATAAACTGTACCATCACATTTATTGATATATGCCGACAAATGCAGAAACCATCTTTATTTCTAGAATTTCAACGAGGATTGAAATGCTACCAGTCATTTAGCAAAGATAACATAACTTATGGACTGTTTAATAACCTTTTTCATTTGTTATATTTACTAGGATCTATTTAAAATTGCTTTGAAAACTGGCCACACGGAGAACCAGAGACAATTAATCAAGACACCATTGATCCTCTGAATTAACTTCGAATGCTCACTCCAATATGGAGCTTCCAGGTTGATTTAACCCAAACTCGTAATTTCCAATGCATGTCAAACTCTGTCAGACAGCTGAGAACAGATGACAGGTATTTCTCCTGAACATGCACATCCAGTTTCACAGACAAATTGGTTTGTATTTATTTTTGACAGATGTTTAGGGCAGTGAGATTTGTTTTCACACATTGTTTCACATATTTGGCGTGTTAAACCATATCCACTATGTCAGAACGTGAAGTGTGGCGTGAGGGTGTGCGAGCTAAACAAAGTATTGTACCCATTTTTCCTTTAACTTGCAAGGCCTTTATATTATCTGATTGCACTACAAGTGAATTTGTGTGTAGTCGTGATGTGGTCCAGACAGGGAATGTGGTCTACACAGAGAATGTGGTCCAGACAGGGAATGTGGTCTACACAGAGAATGTGGTCTAGACAGAAAATGTGGTCTACAGAGGGAATGTGGTCTACACAGAGAATGTGATCCAACACAGTGAATGTGATCTACACAGAGAATGTGGTCTACACAAAGAATGTGGTCTACACAGGGAATGTGGTCTACACAGGCAATGTGGTCTACAGAGGGAAGCCGTGCTGCACAAAACACCACTTGGGCATGATGGTTACTGGCGTTTTGTTGTTGCTTATTCTAGACTGCTTAAAATAACTTAAGTCCACTTAAATTGATATTAATAGATATGTATGGCCTCAACCTAAACCCAGGAAGTTATACCATATTCTTTCAGTTAGATGGAAGCATGCAATATTTCTGCTACATCGCCCCCGTTTGCTATTCCCACAAACCACCGCTTCACAGGGACACACTGTACAGCCCTATCACGCCGCCGATCTTTCATCCAAATCAAAACTGAGACTCGCCTGACAATAGTGCCGCCGTGCATCTTTTCCACGAGACGAATCGATACGAAGTAATCCCAACACAAGGAGAGGCGCACATGTGCCTGATGAAATTACAGCAGGGCCAATAAAAAAGCATTACCAAAGAACATTTCGAGAAAGATCTAGCCCTCGAGCACCCCATGGATATATCATGGCTTGTTCTGTACTCGTATAATAATAGAGCACTCTGTGGAGCCGTGACACAGGCGGTGGGAAGCCCTCATTATGCCCTCTCATCGGGGATTACCCATTTTAATTACTTCCTCCTCTCAGCTATCGACGTCTGTCTAAGTCTGGATGGGCCTCCTCAAGCGACATGCTATTCAAATCAATTGCAGCGATCTGCACAACGCCGGCATTATCAGCTACACCCAGATATTTTCTGGGCTTTGTGATCCACTTTGGATTGTATAAATAAGGTGTATTGCTTACAGAGACATCTTTCAATATGGAGCACAATTTATTTATGAGTTTACTACCAAAAGTGTCCAACGTAGGTTACAAAAAGAAAGGAAAAAGACAACCGAGAATATTCTGGTATTATGTTGTTAGCTTTGACAAAAATCAATCTACCTACTTATTGAGACAGAGTAGCATAAAATGACAGAATTACATTATTAGATATGTATCTTTTTTCCTTTTTTATGTTTTCAATATTATTATGTGTAAAATAGTAAAAAAAATAAAATAAAGAAACACACTAGAATGAGTAGGATAAACCAAACATTTGACTGGTACATATATATATATATATATATATTCTATACATTTAAAATTAAGTCAATAAACAACAATATGTGGACCGTAATGAAAGGATCGGAATACTTCATAAGGCTCTGAATATGAGATAAGGTACGTTTAACCTAGTTAGTTGGTGTGTTTTCTGTATTATATTTAAAAGGCCAAAATGTGTTTCTTTAAAAGAAATGATAATGCAGAAATCAAACCACCCCCGTGAAACTTGAGGGAACTCGAACGATCCGTGCTTGTCCAATTATCAAATTGCAATAAACTCTTCTGTGAATCGAACATAACCACTAACTACAACTGGCAAGAATGAGTGGCATAAAGTATTAGAATAGAAAAAGTGGAGGGGGGTTGCTATAGAAACACTAGACAGTGACTGTCAACTACATCTGGACCGCCTGTTTAATTACTTAAAAACAGTGGAGAATAAAGATATCTTTAGATAGCTTTAAGAGTGTTAGGGGAGTGTTAATGTGTGTCTATGGGCACCTGTGCACAACAACCAGACTCAAGTCCACCGTGTGAATATTGCCGTGGCGGCGCATTAGTCCGGAGACGGCTTAATTTAGGCAGCGGACCCGATCAATTGGACTCCCTGATGCAGCTCAATGAGACGGCAGCCTCCAGCAAGACGGGGTCAAGCACTTACTGGAAGACCGGCAAGCACATCTTAATTTGAGCTGGTAATGTAGCTCGCAACTGACTGTTTTTGAGCAGTCTGGTAAAGCATCAGCTGATAAAGGCCTGTTTGTCTTTGAGCAGTGTTTCCCCAATACATCAATTCACAATATTTGTTACTGTTAAGGTGGACGCCAATTAATTGTTACCGAACTCGAGAAATGCAAAGTATTCCCCTCAGTGTGTGAATTAACAGACCCCACATGACATTTATAGGGATTTATCGCGCAGTGCTAGATCTAAGAAATGATTCAAAACGTTGTTGTCATATTGCACATCTGGTGTGGAGACACACGTGGTCAGAGAACATTTCCGTATGAGAATGTATGAATGACTAAGCTCGTGTATGACATTGAGCGATTTACAAGAATGCGGCGCGATGATATCATTAGCCTGGCCGACGCCACCCAGCTGACTCACAGAGCAGGGAAAGCTGTGACTTGGTCGGGACAAAAGCCACTCAGCCAGCGTTGAATCGTCCAGGCTAGTACAATACATCCTCCTACTGTAATACCGCAAACACACAGGCCAAGGAACCAGGGAGCCAGGGAGCCAAGGAACCAAGGAACTAAGGAGAGAAATACCCATTTTTCTTTTCACA